TCTAGGCCCGAAACGTCAGCTCTCCTGCTCCTCTGATGCTGCTTGGCTTGCTGTGTTCATCCAGCTCCACACTGTGTTATCTCTGACTCCAGCGTCAGCAGTTCTTGCTATCACTGAGTGAGATGAGGAGAAACTCCTTCTCTCAGAGGGTTGAGAATCTGTGGAACTCACTGCCCTAGAGTCGAGTGGAGGCAGAATAAATCAACAGATTCAAGAAAGAAATAGATATGTTTCTGATGAAAAGTGGGATAAAGGACTATGTGGAGCAGGAGAGTGGAGTTGAAACTGTGATAAGATCGGCCATGGTCATGTTAAATGGCAGAATGGGCTTGAGGGCTGAATTAACTACTCCCGCTCCTAATTCCCATGTTCCTATGATCCCTGGAGTACCCCACTGCCATCACTCCAAAAAAAATCAATCTGTTCATGAAATGGCATCTTGGGGTTGCAAGCTTCTGCGAGACTATCACAGCCTAAAGGTAGACCATGCCACTTAAAGACAGTTTGCACCTATTAAAGGTGAAGGTGCATTTTGGATGTATCTGGTGCAGAAAGTACCTGGAGTCGTGTGTGTGAACAGAAAGAAGCATGGACAGACACCATGCTCTAATGTTCCCAGACTAAATAGTAGAGCTTCTTTACAGAAGAAGAGAGATTGCCTATCCATTGGGGGAATAAGAGACCTTCCAGATTGACACCACAAAGGCACTGTGAGCAGACAACTGTGACAGCCAATCCACCTGCATCTGGATTCAGTGCCAAAAGAAGTTCCATTTCATTTCCTCATTCTTTCATGGTGTTGCTTATCCCTAATTATCCCTGCTTGGCTAGGCCATCTCAGACTTAACCACATCGCTGTGGACCTGGAATTACATGCAAACCTTACAAGGTAAGAATGGCAGATTTCCTTCCCTCTGGAACATCAATGAACCAGATGTGCTTTTACAACAATCAACAATAGTTTCACCATTTCTGAGATACATTTTCAAGTCAAGATTTATTCATTGAATTTAAATTCTAGCAGCTGCTGTGGTGGGATTTGAATCTGTATCCGTAGCTTTCACATTATCCTGAGCTTCTTGATTACTAGTCCAGTGGCACAATTAGTATGTAACCATGTCCCCTATATGGTCCCACGTGAGTGTAAATAGCATAGTCTTACAACTAAACTTGCCTACATGGTTCACCTGCCCATCTTTACTCACTGACCAGTAATCAATAGTACTTCATATCCATAGCTTCACCATACTTAGGATTGCTGAAAGCCTCACACCCACATCTTACAGCTTACACACACTTTACCAGCTATTCAACAAATACAAGTGTATCACAACCAGAGGAAGCACCAACTAATTGGCAGGTAATAGGCTGCATGTCCTCACCCGAATAAAAGTGATGGTGCTGGCCATCATTAGAGTGATTGTGACTGAGGCCATGCTTGCTGACAAGGTGAAAACCATTGATAATGGTGATATCTGCATAAATGAATCTTTTTCTCAAATCCCAATTGCGCCTCATTCCACAACCTCTGTAGATTTACAAGAGATGGTATAAGCATGCAGCTCCTGCCTTTCCCTCACCTCCACTCACAACAACCCTTCCATTCTACATTTCTCCTTTCAGATGCCTAAGAGCTGCCAACTTATCAGGCAGTGGTGCAGGAGTAAGCAGGACCAGAGGAAGAAGAGGCTGATGATGCAACGCCATCATTCACTCTGACTCTCATAGCCATCATTTCAGATATTGACTGTCTACACTTTAGAGCAAGGCTTAGAGGCTGGATCAGCATGTAGTGAGATATCAGACGAAACCAGCCTGATCCCAGAGGGGAACGAAAGCAAGGTGTCAACTCACAGGTTCTGCTGCAGATGATTCAGATGGGAATTCAGTTGGGGAATTATAAGAACAGGCTGGTAGGTACATAGAGCAATGTGTGGTACATTGACAGGTGTACCAGCTATCCTATGTACAATGCTGATGACCATGAAGAATTCCAGCAGAAGTTTGCACATCGATGGTTGCAGGAATGGAGTCGCTGGGCAATTGATCTGCCACACTCTGAACCTAGCCACGATGCAATGTCTGAGGGCTGCCACTCTTTGGATTCTCATGGTGACCCAGATGCTTACAGTACAGTGGACTGGCACAGAATGAAGGGTCATAACTGCTGCTAGGATAACAGACATGGAGAAGCATGAAAAACTCAGTGTGGTCACACATCAGCTGGACACTGAGGGAGTGGAGCCCTTGCTGGTTGCAGTACATCTCTAAATTTACATGCAATATCCCTAAAGCGATGTCCATGCATTTAGTGCCACCCCACACCACGGGGAAGCTGAAGCCCACTCTGCTTGCCCTTGTCCTCGAAGAAAGCATGAAATGCTTTGAGCTCTCTTTACTTACTGAGTCACTGTGATCTCCCTTACAAAACAGTGGCAGGTGAAATGAGAGATGTCAAAAATGCCTGATGTCAAAATATTATGCCCACAGTCATTTTCACACACACTGGCAATGCTATCATCACCTGGCCTCTATATTATGCAATCAGTGTTAGATTTCAGTACGATCCTCCTTAGTGAAGTGTAAATACTACACACATTGTTCCTCAGGTTGAGGTCAGAGAATTGCTTCCTGAAGAAGTTGATTTAGACAAAGATGCTCAAGTGGAAAATGACAAATTGTGCCATCATGATCTGGAATCATGTTCAGCTGGACCTACGAACTCCCAGTATACCTTCCCAGCACCTACACTAAGGACCTACCCAAAATAGGCATCGACATGCTCCATTCCCTGCATGGGCACTATTTCCAACTCAAAATACATAATCACATTCAAACCAGTCTGAGAATAATCAGATTCAGTTCTAGAGATTAGAATATTTGCAGCATGAGAAATGGAAATATTCCTGACACATTTGGGGTTGGGCTAGGGTGCGAGACATTAAATTACATCTTAACTGATATTACTGAGTTGGAAAGGTAACATCTTCTGTATCTAACCTGTGCTGTACTAATTTTGTGAGTTTTTGAAGGGTCGACAAGAAGGGAACTTTGGATCTAATCCATGCTGTTCCTGTCTTAGAAATCTCATTCAATGAGAAAAGAGAGAAACTCCACATTTCTTGCACTTAACAGCTGGCCTTGATCTGTGAAAAATCTGACGTTATTACTGGACTGAAATATGTTGTTTTTCTGTTTTTAGTTCTAACCCTGTGTTGAAAGACATGTGGCCAGAAGGGAAACTGAGTATCACAGAGGTCACAAAACGACCTCTGACTGCTGCGACCCTGTTCAGGAGTTCCATGATTGCACTTGTTGTTAACTTGGAATGTAAGGTAAGGAGGTTTTATCTGAGTCACACAGTCAACCGCCCTGTTTATATATTACAAGGACAGTGCAGTGCAAATCCTCTCTAATGTTCAGAGCTCAATTCCATCACTGTTCACCTACTAATAGTAGGTGGTCCCCTTTTCCCCATGCTAGCTGTGTTGAGTTCTTGTGGCACAATGGATAGCAACCTTACCTCTGAGCTAGAAGTTCTGGTTTGGAACCTCATCTAAGACTTGACGTTTAATGAAAGTGAGTTCATAATGCAGCCAACAAGGTGCAGGGCTGGATGAACACAGCAGGCCAAGCAGCATCATAGGAGCAGAGAGGCTGACGCTTCGGGCCTAGACCCTTCATCAGGAACTTAGGGATGGACAATAAATACTGGCCTTGTCAGTGCCCCATCGCATGAAAGATTGAAAGAAAACAATTCATTTACATGTCTCCTTCAAACATAACTTAATTGACATGTCTCATGCACTAAAATCATAGAAATAGAGAAACATAGAAATCTACACAGATGACATTCAATCCATGTACTGTGTTTCCATAAAGAGCTACCCAGCCTAACTCTACTTTTCCGTCTGAACCTACCCTTAATTTTCATTTCCCTGCCAAGCTAATTGAAAATCTCCCCAACACGACCAGCCAATCTCCCTGGGTGATATCAGTTGAACTGTTTAAATGTGACTCATCTGGATTGTACAGTGGGCCCTGCCCCAGAATCAGTTGGATACTCTTGTTCCTTCACTAGCTCTCCAGTTAAACCTTTATTTTCACCATCCTGCATCCCTTTTTCCAAATGATAGTCACCCATTCCTTCCTTGACTGCCCTTCCTTAAGCTGTGTGGTGACCACTTGAAAAACATGCTATCTACATAACTCTCAGTCTCGTGAATGCCCTGCTGTGCCTCCTGCCAGTGCTCAAGCTCCAAAGCCTGGTGCTCATGCTGATCAAATTGGTGGCACTTCCTACAGATGAGGACATTCAGACTGCCAGGACCGCCTGAGATTTCCCCACATCCTGCAGGTTGTGCAATACATGTGAATAACCTCTCCTGCCTTCCCTTGGTTAATAAAAGTCTAACCCTAAATTTAAGCCAAGTATAAAACTAAACAAGTTTTCTTTTAAAAAAAACGATAAATCTTACCTTTCCTTAATACATAATTATATAAAGTGAACAAAGACAACTTACTGCCAATCAGCTCACTGTTTTTTGCTGATGCCCCTTTCATCAGCTCTTTAAAATTCTCCCAGGTTCCTATTGGGGTTTAGCTGCTGCTCCTACTGAGCTCAATCTGGGTATTGCCCCTTAGGCTTTTATCAGGAAGCTGTACTAATGCTTTACACCTCCAAGTTTCTTCCCCTCCATTGCTTATCCAACTGGCTCCCCATTGAGTCAGATTAGACATTTTATTTCAGAAATACTTTATACATATTATGTATAAAAATAGTCACAACAGCAGTTTGGTTCTATCCAGTAGGATATGAGGAAACAGGCAAATATTGGAGATTGACTCTGTCTAACAAACAAACCAAGGCATATCTTACTTGTACAAGACTATATTTACATGCATTTGAGGCACAAAGCGGGTCTGATAACTGAACAAATCCCAATTTATCTTTGGCAGAATCAAATTAAATTATAAACTAGAAAAATCTTATCTTTATTTATGTCTAAAGTCCCTCAAAAGTCCAGATGCTGATTTGCTGTACACTCCTCCCAGACTGCTTCAAAGTGATTCTGACAGCTGCTCACTGCTCAGGTTCCTTCGCTGATTCTGTATGAAAATACACACTCTGTGGCTGCCCACCAATGGCTCTTTCCCTTGTTTTACTAGTGTCTTTAAATGTAATTTTACTTGTCTCTCTCACTGACACTCGTAATATTCCCACTCTGTACATTCCTACTTTCAGGGACTTGCTACTTGTAACTCTCCTGCAACTCTGCAGCTCTGTCTATGAGTATGCTTGGGTCCATGCCTCAACAAAATAGAAGCTATTATCGAGTGAAAAATCAACAATTTACCAAGAGTGACCTCGTAACACCTTCCTGTTATCCACCAATATCTTCCCTGTGTGGCAGTGATTTAGATTTTGTTCTCAATGTTCCACATTCAGCTTACACTCTGTTTCTGTCTGATCACTCTCAGCAAGTCTCTTCAGCTAGTTTTGTCTGTTTCTGGCATTGTTTCCTTTTAGGCCTGCTCAATTTCTCTAATCATTCACACACATACACAGCCTTTGCACATCTCGTATGTGCAACCCTTTCACAAACAAACAGAATGTAAACACTCACACACAATTGTATACACACATAAAAACAACTCACTCACATAGGTACATAACTCATTCTGATAAACACAACAAAAATTTGCATTCAACTCATACATGTATCTTATTCTTACACTACTCATTCATACACATAGGAAAACTATTCATGTATCAATCACATAACTCATACGTATATTTTATTCACTCACAACCTAATCGCATAAAACACAACTCAATCCCATGGGGCAGAACTTTTTCACACACATATATATACAACTTACACTGGTATATAATTCATTAATTCACAGCCACATATAACCTCACATCTAATTCACACACAACTTGTTCACACCCTGTACACCCGTACGCAACTCATTCAAGCACACATTCACACAAGGCTCAATCACATACACAAAATACATTCATGTGTCTCATTGATACTGAATTCCTTCACTAAAGTCACTCACCTGATCTCATCTGCACACATTTCATTCAGGTGTCTTGTCACATACTAATCATTTCCTTACACACACAGCCTGTACACATCACACTAACAACACATTTACATGTCGCATTCATTTGTCTCATTCACATGCCTCATTCATGCACAAACAACTCAGAAGCCAGTCTCGCGCACACGCAATTCATTTACTAGTCTCATTCACTCACATCATATTCACACATTCTGTTCTGTACTAAATTTCTTATATTTAATCCTATCCCCTTGTTCTAGACTCTACAATCACAAGAAGCAATCTGTTTCGATCTACTTTGTTCCAACCTTTCACTTCCACCAAATCACCTTGCAATCTGTTCTAACAAAACTAGATTAAATTGGCCTCTGGAGTGACTGATTCGGGCTACAACCCGCTGCCTTGGTCTCTATAGCAGTCTTTCTGTTTTATATGTTCTTTCATGTCCTTCCTGGGACTGTTGTCATTTTTCTCTGCCATCATAATTAATTAGCTTTGTTCCCAAAGGAGTGGAATCCAGGACAGTTATCCCCTTCCCCTGCTGCTGCCAGTTGAGACACATTCCAAGGTCAGGGCTAATCTAAGCACATTTGACTGGCTTGGACTGTTGTCACATGGGAATATCATGCAGAAAGTGAGAGTGTACAAGGTCTGTGGGAGAAGACTAAACAGATAGGGTAGAGTACATAGTTATGGTGATTGATTCGGTATTGTGGGAGGAAGTAAAATTGCCAGAGTATAGTGCAGGATAAGACTAGGTTTATAAGGACTTTGGATATCCTGGCTGATGGACTAAATAGGTTTCTCTTGTTTCTTACTCATTTATGTTTTATTTTCATTCAAGGGCAAAGGTTGACAGAATTTAGTGTAAAAAGAAAAGATTTGGTGTTCACCATTTTAAAGCAAGTGAGATGAAGAAAAATCTATTCCAACAAGGAAGTCAGGAATACATGAAAATATGGACACTTCTCAGACTTTTCAACTTTTGCACTTTTAATGGAATGAAAAAATGGAATCTTACACTTTGACAGGTTCTTTACTTTCTATGTTACTTAGGCTGGAGGTTGAAGGATATTTTCTTATAGTCAACTAGGAGTCTATAAATGACCCTAAATGGGGAAACAGTTTGACTTATTGGATTCTATAAAATGAAGGTGAGTGGGAAACACTTTGAGCCATTAGAATTGCATGCAATAAAGTCAGAAGGATGGAGTATGGTCATGTCGACTTTATGCAGTGTGATTGGCTAAGAATGCCCTTGACATATTGCAACTCTCGACAGTGTGAGTGAATAGAAATCAGTTTTATCCATTTAATTTTGTATTTTTGTAGTAAATATACTCGAACTCTTGATCCACCAAGGTTCTGTACTAAGGGAGTGAATGGGAAGATGTTTGAATCATTATAATGATAAAATTGAATTATCTGTCTTCTGTTTAATTAGGTCACGCACGTAAATAACCATCTCTGAAAAGTTCATATATTCTAATAATTTTGTATATCTTTTTGCCCCTTTTCAGGAACCTTACTATGTACGATGCATTAAGCCCAATGATCAGAAATCTTCCTTAATCTTCGATTATGAACGCTGTAGACACCAGGTGGAATATTTGGGACTTTTGGAAAATGTGCGGGTGCGGAGAGCTGGATTCGCTTATCGACAACCATATGAGCGTTTCCTGCAGAGGTAAATCCATTTCTGTGTATTCACAACGTTTGCAGGCTTAGAAGTGGAAAGCTGAGCATTCATTTAGGAACATAGGAACACGAGTAGATATTCAGCTTCCTCAAGCCTGCCCCACCATTCAGTATGATCGTAGCTGATCGAACATTTCACTCCCTTTTCCCCATACCATCCCTATAACCCTGGAAGCTATTGGTAGTCAGAAACTTATTTAAAGGGAATGAGAGACAACAAGGTGCAGGGCTGGATGAACACAGCAGGCCAAGCAGCATCATAGGAGCAGAGAGGCTGACGTTTCGGGCCTAGACCCTTCATCAGAAAAGGGGGAGGGGAAGGGGGTTCTGGAATGAGTCTGGTTATGCAGCTTCTTTTTCCATTCTTCCTCTATTCCTTAGTAAAGTGGTAAATCTATCTTCAGGCTGTGATGCTAGATAATGTTTTGAGTCCAGTGACCCTTCTTCAGAACTGATGGTAGCTGAGAATAGTTATGCACATTTATAAGCTTTTATTTGCAGAGATTTACATTACTTATGCATGGCCTCATCTAGCCACCACAGCTTTAGGCTGCTCCTATTTAATAGCACAAGTGAATCCCTGTTCATATCCATAATTGAAACACAGGAATCAAGGGCATGAATAGGCCATTCAGCCCTTCAAGCCTGCCACACCATTCAATATGAAAATGGCTGATCATCCAACTCAGTATCCTGTTCCCGCTTTCTCCCACATAGTTTGATCCCTTTAGCCCTAAGAATTACATCTAATTCCTTCCCAAAAACATTCAATGCTTTGGCATCAATCGCTTTCTGTGGCAGAGAATTCCATATGATTCACCACTCTCTAGATGAATAAATTTCTCGTTGTTATAATCAACAGAGATCATCACATCTGCCCAGTCTGTTTAAACACATTATCTAATTTCAATCCCATTCAATTAATCAGACTCGACATTGTATAGAAACATCACATGTATTGTAATATGACATTGATTCTAGACCAGATAGGCCCGAACCTTTAAAACAGTGTGTTATGATACCAGGTGATGTTACTAGTATACAAGTCAGAATGTAGACTGAAATCTTGATAGATCATAATTTACCTTTTTTTGGTTTATAATAAGATGATCTATCACTGAAACATAAACATGTAATATTGCATATTTCGTTTTAACAATCAACAGTTGCATAATATAAATGAAGATAAACTAGAATGAACCAAACTATTTATGTATATGGCATAACTATTACTGAATCCCCCACTATCAACATCCTGGGGTTACCAGTGACCAGAAACTGAACTGGACCAGCCATATAAATGCAGTGACTACAAAAGCAGGCCAGAGACTAGGAATCCTGCAGTGAGTAACTCATCTCCTGTCTCCCCATATCCCACCCATAACCTACAAGGCTCAACACAGGAGTGTGATCAAATACTCTCCACTTGCATAGATGAATGCAGCTGCAACAACACTCATGAAGCTTGACACTATCCAGGATAATTCAGTCTACTTGATTAGCATCACATTCACAAACATTTCCTCCCTCCACCATCGACACTCAATGGCAGCAACATGTAGCATATACACCATATATTCCACCAGGTTCTCTACAGGGCACTTTTCAAACTCATTACCACTTCCATTTAGAAGAACGTCCCATGAGTGAATTTGGAAAAGTTATTTTTCCGAAATGGCTGAAAATAAAAAGAAGCCTGCGTAACTCCATCCCTCCTTTTATGGAGAGCATGCCACCTGTAGGAAGGAAACTACCAAAACAAGCCTGCTACTTTTAATGCTACAACAACAAATAAAAGAGAAAAAAAGTCCTTTTTAAAGCCAACATTAAAAATAAAAAATGGTAAAAAGCACCAGATTCTTCTTCTGATATTCCAAAAGAGCATAAGAAAACAGTAAAAATGGAAAGCAAACACATAATAATGGATCGGTATTTTTTGACTTCTGTCAGAATTCTACTTGTTTAAACAACATTATGGTTCAACGGACAGCTGACAAAGAACAACCAGCTGTCAAATATCTGCTTCCCTTCCATACTGAGGAGTTAGAACAATAAAATTCTCTGGTATTTATGATAATGACTTCAAAAAGCCTGGCAAAACTTTTCATATTTTAGAAAATCAAGAATGTTTGAGTCAAACATTACACAAGCTTGATACGCAAGCTTCAGCACATGGTACACTGCCAATAGGCAGTTGAAATGATTACCCAATTCTTCAGCAGTTGTCAACTCAATGGAGTGGAGCATGGTTTCACCAAAGCTTTCAGTGGGACACTACTTTGTTAAAACCAAATAAAACAAACTCTGATCTATTAAGCCAGATTTCAGTCTGAAGTCTGACATGTTCAATAATAACATTAAGTGGGAGCACGGTGGCTCAGTGGTTAGCACTGCTGCCTCACAACGCCAGGGACCCACGTTCGATTCCATCCTCGGGTGACTGTCTGTGTGGAGTTTGCACGTTCTCCCCCTGTCTGCATGGGTTTCCTCTGGGTGTTCCGGTTTCCTCCCACAGTCCAAAGATGTGCAGGTTAGGCGGATTGGCCACGCTAAATTGCCTGTAGTATTTGGGGATTGTGTAGATTAGGTGGGTTATAGGGGGATGGGTCTGGGTGGGATGGTCTGAGGGTCGGTTTGGACTTGTTGGGCTGAAGGGCATGTTTCCACACTGTAAGGATTCTATTCAATTCTACTCTAACACTTGCAACTGACCAAAATGGAGAAGCCTGTTTCAGAATGGCACTAAGCACATCAACAGACTTCATCAACAACATGCAGAGGTGAGGTTGAGACGTTAGACAGTTCTGATAAATCTCTAAGCAACCTGTCTACCCTACTTTGCAAGCAACTCCTTCCCCAAGTGCAGTAGTCTACAAATCATGTATTAGACTTTTCAACCATTTCAGAACCCATTGAACTGGTGTGAAAGCAATTCACCCCTGATCCTGCTAAGAAGATATTTATATCTGCCTTCAGATCTGAAGGAAGGTCCTTGACCTGATATGATAACTTTGTTTCTCTCTCCACAGATGCCAACAATAATGCTCAACTCTTACAGCTGTTTGTGTTTTTATCAACCTGCCCAATTTGGCTTTCTCAGGTCCTCACACTTCTCTGTCTTGAGCTCCATCTGCCACAGTTTTGTCCACTCACTTAATCTGTCCATGTTCCTTTGTAACTTTGTGATACCATCCTCTGAAATAATTTTGCCTCCTATCTTTAAGTCATCTGTAGACTTTGGTATGTAACTCCCTACATTCTCCAAACTATTAGAATCTATATAATAAAAATCTGAGGTTCCATCACAGACACATGTCCCATCGATAAGACAGCAAACACACACTTTACCTCCATTCTTTCCAGCCTTCTAACAAATTATCAGCCCATATTATGAGGTTAACTCTAATTCTGTGTGCTGTTATTTGAGCTAACAAACTCTTGTGTGGAGCCTTTTTCAATGAGCTCCAGAGGACCAGATAGACAACATCCATCAACAGTCCTCTTAGCTTATCTAAAGCTGAAGAAGAAACAGGAATGACAGAGCCACATACACCATATTCTGTCAGTGAATAAAGATGCCTAGCCTATGTAATCAGATCCTGTCTAGCTCAAGGTCCAAACTTATTGAGTTTTCCACAGAAGAACTGTAAGCTTTCATCACTGGACACATTATAGCATCATAGAAAGGTTCAGCACAAAAGGACATCTTTTAGCCCGTTTGTCCACATTAGTTGAAAGAGAGTTATCCAACCTTATTCCACTTTCCCAGTCTTGATCCAGATCCTTGTAACTTATGACTTTGCAAATGCATAACGAAACATTTTTCAAATGGGATGTGGGTTTCAAGTAAGACCTCCAATGCATCCCCACCCCTCCAAACTCTGGGTAAAGAAATGTCTTCTCAAATTCTTTCTAACCTTTCTATAATTTGCTTTAAATTTTTAAATTTGTGCCCCAATAGTGAAAGTACTACTGCTATAAATATATATGTGTGTTTGTGTGTGTGTGTATGTATATTTACGGGTATGTTAATTACCTGAACATGCTTTAATATCTCTGTCCAATTTTAAACACGTATGTCAGGTATAAGATGATTTGTGAGTACACTTGGCCCAATCACTTGATGTCTACAGACCTGGAAGCCACCCGAATGATCGTAGACCAACGTAACTTCCAGCAAGATGTTGCCTATGGAAAGACAAAGCTATTCATTCGTACACCGCAGACGCTATTTGGACTGGAATCAGCACGGGCAGAAACAATTCCTTTAATTGTGCTGTTTCTGCAGAAGGTAAAGATATGAAGTTGCATTAGAGCAATTTATTAAACCATCAGCTGCAGAGCTTTGCAACACAGGGAGGTCATTTGGCCCACCTTATCTATGGCAGATCACCAGAGCAATTCAAAACTAGTGTTGATTTGCCATCTATCAACAATAATCTTCTGGCCAAAAAAAAACTGATAGAACTGCGGATACTGTAATCTAAAACAAAAACAGAAATTGCTGGAAAATCTCAGAAGGTCTGGCAGCATCTGTGGAGAGAAATCAGAATTAACACTTCAGATCCAGTGACCCTTCCTCAGAAGATTCAGAAACGTTAGCTTTGATTTCTCTCCTCCAAAGCTATCAGACCGGCTGAGATTTTCCAGCAGTTTCTGTTTTTGTTTCAATAACCCTCTAGACCTGTCTCAGTTTTAAAAATGCATTCAAGGTTCTCTTAAGAGATGCATGGGTCTCTACAACCCTCAGATTTGTTTTGATTTTTGGGGGTCTAACCAGAAAAATGGCAATTAGCCAACAAGTTCAATCTTGAAATAAGGTTCTAGCAACATTTAAAATTTGATAGCTGAGCTGAGCAATTATCTCATCAGATTAAAACCTCAAGTTGGGCAAGGATGGCTACCAGCAAAATAAGTTGACATACAAAAAGGGAAGAGCGGATTATTGAAATTGATGAGGAGGAACATCTTGAGGCAGCAACCGTCCAGCACTGTATGTGGCTGCAAAGTCCACAAAAATAATTTAACATTCATTTTAGTGGCCTCTTTGTTTCTAATATCAATGAAACTGGTCGGAATGTACAATTCAAAGGCTCCAGCTAGTTGCAATCTGAGAAGCCAATCAGGGTCCCAAATTATGTCATAGGGCACTAATTCCCATATGAAACAAGGCTTACCTCTGGAAGTAGAGGGCTTTGGGCATCTGGCGGTAGGTCCCTTTCAAAATGGAACCAGCTGCCTGGATGGTGTTAATGGGGAGGTAAGGTTAGCGATGTCATTTTACAACAGCTGTTAATGCTAGGAGAAGGCACTTAAATCAATAAGACTGTGATAAGACAAGAAATAATCCTAAGTGCTTCTGAGTATAGAACTTTCTCTATTCTTTTTAGTGACAATTACAGATAACTTTTATGTAAGATAACCGAAATGAAAAGATTAACCTGGGCTGAAGCTCCACTAATTCTGAAATACAACACCGACTTTGGGTGAAGAACGGAGCAGTGTGAGGAGATTAGGCAGACCCCAGTTGAACTTTGGCACAGTCTCCTCATGGAGATAAACTTGTCTTCTCGATCTCTTATTAGTAATAGTTAAAACACTTAAGAACTAATGTAATCTGTATGTAGTTACTGAGATGTAATAAACCAATTCTTGTCATGTAAGACCTGGGCATCAAACATGGTTATAACATGGTGGTACACATGAGCTTCTTATTGCTGTTAGAATGATAATTACTTGACTGATCCCCCCGCCTCAACCAACACCCCCCACCCCCCCAAACAGTGCAAGTGATGACTTTCTATTCACCTTCTCAAAACCCATAATTGTTTTATAAATAGTCCGACACACTGAGCGCTCTGTTGTCCCAGTACCATCTCTAAGATGATATATTACACTGAGGCATCATCTTCCCTCTCCAGTCCTATATTTGCTGCTGGTCTAGCAGCATCACCAAAGCAGATTATCTCAGTGTTGTTTGTGGGAGCTTGCTGTGTGCTAGTTGGATGTGGCATTTCCTAAATTATCATAGTGAATCAAATTTAAATCATTTTGAATGTTCTGTGGTTATGAAAGTTGCTACATCAAACTAATTTATTTCTTTTTGTTACCTATAAAGTTCTATGTGAGTTGAGCAGTCAAATTTGATTTATTTTGGTTGGACCACAAGAAATAGGAACAGGAGTAGGTCATTTGGTTCCTCAGGCCTGCTACACCATTCAGTGGGATCATAGTTGATTGTTGGGGGGGATTGTAATATAATCCCAGCAAGTTAATTGCTCTTTGTTTATTTCTGAGCTTTACCCAAATGGCCTCATTTGAAGTCGCTTCTAGGATTTCCTCCCTCAATACAGCACTGGTGGTTTCGTTGATCAACAATGCAATACTCCCACCTCTCTTGCTTCCCCTACTATTGCATCTGAATCTTCTATACCCTGGAATTTTGAACTGCCAGTCCTGTCCTCATTTGAACCATGTTTCAGCGATTGCAAGAATATCATAATCTCCCATGATGATCAATGCTCTAAGTTCATCTATCTTACCAGTCAAGTATTCTTGCATTAAAATAGATACAATTTAGCTTTCTAGACTTATCCTGTCTTGGTCTTATGCCTTATCCTGCCCATGTCTTCTCCACATACTGTGTTGTCCTAGCATTCGTTCTGTATCTGACTGGACCTTGCAATAGTGTTAGGACTTTACATCTACTCTCTGCCCCTTCTCCCGACCACATCAGTTTAAAACCTCCCTAACAGAATGAATAAACCTCCCAGCCAGGATATTGGACCCATGCTAGTTCATGTACGAAACATCCAGCTTATACAGGTCGCACCCACACCAAAAACTGTCCCAATGATCCAAAAATCTAAAGCCATCCCTCTTATACCATCCCTATAGCTACATTGTTCTGAACTATCTTCCTATTCCTATACTCAGTAATGCATGGCACTTGAAGTAATCTGGACAGTACAATCTTAGTAGTCTTCCCCTTTAATTTACTACCTAACTTTCGAAGTTCCCGCTGCCGAACCTCACTTCTTGTTTTCATCTATGTCTTTAATACCAATATGTACCACGACTGCTGGCTGTTCACCCTCCCTATTCAGAATGCTCTGTAGTCATTCTGAGACATCCCTGACCCTGGCAACAGGGAGGCAACATACCATTCGAGAGTCTCATTTGTTGCCGCAGAACCACCTGTCAGTTTCCCTTACAATCGAGTCCCCAGTCACTAAATCTCTCCCAGTCTTTTTCCATCTCTGGTGCCACAAACTTGGCTGTTGCTGTTTTCCCCTGTGAGGTCATCCCCCCCAGTGGTATCCAACATGAAAAATCTGTTTAAGAGGGGAATGGCCACAGGTGACTCCTGCACTACCTGCACATGCTTACTAGTCCTTCTGGTTGTCATCCAATGTTTTTCTGCCTGTGTAGCCCTTACCTGTGGTGTGGTAACTCTCTAACTGTGCTATCCATGATGTCCTCAGCCTCATGGATGCTCCATAGTGAGTCCATCCAGTCAATCAGGAGCTGCAGCTGAACACAGTTCCTGTACATATGGTCACCATTGAGACTGGAAGGGTCCCAGATTTCCCACATGTTGCAGGAGGAACATTCTATGGGACCAAGTTCTTCTGCCACTGTGAACCTTATCAACTACAAACAATAAACTAAGGAACAATTACCCAACCTCACTCTTTATTCACAAAGCAGATTTCTCTCTCTATCTTTCAATTCTTAACAAGCTACAAACAGCAAACACAACTTTGCACTCTGTATTCCTCCTGGTACTATACACTCAGTTTCAATACTGCTAAAGGTAAAGGAACATTCAATTAGTTAGTTATATTTCCCTTTTAAGATGTTGACCCAGTTTTATGCCTGAAAAATAAATTGTCTGCAGGTATAGCAGTACCAAGTTCCCATCACCATTTCAATATTCTAACATTTACAACACACACCTTAGAATTGCTCAGGTTTGATCTCAGCCTTTCTGAAGAATCATTTGGTTTTATAGATGCTGTCTCTGACAGTGATTAATGGGGAAGGGGGTCCAGGTTCACAAAGCTCTTCCTCACTCTCAGCTCTGTAGAGATCACATGAAGATGTCTGGCCTACTTTCGAGACCTTGGCCTCTTCCTGCCAGGCTTGATAAATGTCCGGTTCCTTTATAGCAATGCCATTTATCAGGCCCTAGGGGGAGGATTTGAAATTATTAGATTTTTCCGCTTTTAGAAATTGGAGCAAAGAAACAGAAGCAGAACAACCTGAATACCACTCAGAAAGGTAGAGACATGCAAGCACCCCGATATACATCTACACGAGAACCCCAACACATATATAGACAGGCAGTTATGCAAACATACATATGACCAAATACCCACATTTACATGTATTCACAGAAAAAAAAGCATAAATAGAGACCAAAAGCCAAAACTATTATTACATAAATATACATTTACATACACTAAAATCCTACTGTGCCCTATCTCAGGTTTCCCATTGTGTTGTCTGAGAGCTTTTTAAACCTGTCATCATATTGAAAATTGGCTATACTAGTGCAGGTATGTACCCTTACTGGAAATGGTATAAAGTTATTTCTTGAGCAGGCATATTCTGATGATTTTATACCAACTTCTATCAAAGTAGACTCAGCAATGCAACTACTAATGTGAAACTGCACAGCTTCCAACTCATGTCATTTGCAGCTATTAACCTACTTATTTTATCTAACTTTTAGTCATCTGCCCTAATAGCACTTCATGTGTCTCACTGTCATATTTTGTTTTCCAATTTTGCTGTAAAGACTTTGCCAAGTTTTATTACATTAAAGGCACTTTTTAAGTATAGCTATTGTTGGAGTGTCAGGCATTCAGAAATCATTGCAACAGCAAAGGATATGGAGAACTGGCCTAATTAAAGGTATGTTGACTGCTTCATGGACTCATAGACGTTTACTGCACAGAAGGAGGCCATTCAGTCCATTTTGTCCATGCTGGTCAACAATGATCTCATGACACCAATCCCATTTTCCAGCTCTTGGCCCATAGCACTGGAGGCTATGACAACACAAGTGAATATCTAAATACTGCTTAAAAGTTTTGAGACTTTCTGACTCAAATGACCTTTCAGGCAGTGAATTCCAGACTTCCAATATCCTCTGTACAAAATTATTTTCCCTCAACTCCCGCCTTAGCCTTCTACCTCTCACCTTAAATCTGTGCTCCCTCCACAAATTATTGATCCCTCCACAAATGGGGAAAGTGCCTTCCTATCAACTCTGTCTGTGTCCCTCATTTTATAAACCTCTATCAGGTCACCTCTCAATTCACTGCTACCAGGGCCCCTCTAACTCACGTGGTATTCTGGTAAACTTCTTCTACACCCTCTTTAGTGCAATCATACCTTTCGTATAATGTGCTATATTCTATACACTCCTATAATCCTGCATGCTGTACTCCACTTAAGGCCTAACCATTGTTTTATACAGTTCAATCTACTCTTATATTCCATGTCTCAGCTAATAAAGGCAAGTGTCCCAAATGTATTCTCAACCACCTCATCTATCTGCCATACTAGGGATGTGATGGAGATGAAGTTAGATTTTCAGTACTTTCCAAGTTCCTACCATTTATGGAGTAATCTCTTGCCTCGCACTTTTCTGGGTTGAATTCCATTCACCAAAGTAATTTATCAAAAGCTTTGCTAAAGTCCGCGTAGATAACATCAGGTGCATTAGCTTCATCAACACTTTTCGTTACCTCCTCAAAGAATTTGATTAAATTTGTCAGACACAACATTTCCTTGATAAATCCATGTTGATTATCCCTTAATAATTTATGTTTCTCCAAGTGCAGTGATATTCTGTCCCACAGAATCCTTTATAAAATCTTACCCACCATCAAGGTTAGACTCTTTAACCAGAAATTTCCTAGCCTATCTCTTTCTCCTTTTCAATAATGAGTCAATATTAGCTGTCCTCCAGTCCAATGACACTTCACCCAGGGCCAGAGAGGACTTGAAAATTACAGCCAGGACTCTTGATATCTCCTCCCTTGTCTCCCTCAACAGCCTGGGACGAATTTTGTCTGGGCCTGTGAATTTATTTACTTTTAAGGCTGCCAACTCCACTAGTAACTATTGTATCTCTCTCTCATCCGCTCTCTAAGTTCAATTTTTTTCCAGTATTTAACAGTCCTTCATCCTGATGTCTATACCAGCACCATCCTTTTCCAATGTGAAGACCGACTCAAAGTATTCATTGAGGACTGTGACCATATCTTGATGTCCAAATACAGACTACATCTATGGACCATAATGAGCCCTACACTTTCCATGATTCTTCTCTTGCTTTTTACATATATTTTTTAAAAATCCCTTTGGGTTTTCCTTTATTCTACTTGTTAATGCTTTCTCATGGACTCTGTTGGCTTTGCTAATTTACTTTTTAAGTTCCCTTGAACTTTTTTACTCCTCTAGGATGTCAGCTATATTGAACCTTAAGTATATGCCAGAAACACATCCTCTTTTTCTTAAAACTAACCTTTATGCCTCTTGGCACTCAGGGTTCTCCAGTCTTGGTCTCACCCTTTGTCTTTACAGGAACATATTTGTCCTTTACTCTGGCTGTTTCTTTGTTGAATACCTCCTATTGCTCTGACACAGTTTTAGCTGTAAGCGGCTGCTTCCAGTTCAAATTGTATCTTATCTTGGTAATATCAGCTTTCCCCTAGTTTAGAACTTCCCTTCCCAGCCCATGCTTGTCCTTTGCCATAGCTATCTTAATTTTGTTATTTCATTCATGGAATGTGGGGGTCACTGGCTAGGCCAGCATTTATTGCCTATCCCTAATTGCCCAGATGGCAGTTAACAGTCAATCACATTGCTGTGGGTTGCAAGTCACATTTCGTCCACACCAGGTAATGATAGCAGTTTCCTTCCCTAAAGAACCAGATCATTCACAGTCAGCATGATCATCATTATTAATGTAATTCCAGGTTTTATTGAGTTCAAGTTCCATCATCTGCCATGTCAGAATTCAAACCCAGTCCCCAGAGCATTACTCAGGTCTCTAGATTAAAGTCCAGCAATAATACCACTAGGCCATCACCTCCCTCTACCTAGCTGAGCTTGGCTACTATCTCTAAAATGCTCCCCTACTGATGTGCCTTCCACCTGCCCAAGCTTACTTCTGCATATTAGGTTTAGAAAATCCCCCTCCCTTGTTGGGCTTTCTATGCACTTGCTTGCTCCCCACCTTGCACACTAAGCCTATCCCAGATAATACTTGGGGTAATTAAAATCCTTTAATATTACTGCTTATTATTCTTACATTCCTCTGAAATGTAATTACACATTTGATCCTTATCACCCCCTTACTGTTTGAGGGCCCGTTGTGTTTTAATTTTGTCCCCCTTGCACCTCCCAGATACTGGAGGGATTTCATTTCCTCTGTATGTTTAATGTAGCTAGATTGACAATCATGATAAAATGGTACAGGCCTGAACATAGCATAACGGGGTCAAGCAGTAAGTTAAAAAATAGGACACAGAGCAGTTGAGTTTCAGCAATAGAGAGGCAGTGGCAATGGTTTAAAACCTGAATGCTTCAGATGCTGGTTACTCACAGTAATATATTAATTTTTAATTAATTATTCATAGAAATATTTTTAATCAAGCAGTTGAAGCTGAGCATGAATTCCAAAAAGAGTTCATCCAGCAGCTTCAGCAGTCTTCTTTTCCAAATCTTATCTTCCAATCAATAGTGTACAATATGTATACTGAATACAAAATACTGAACATGCTCAGATTGTCTCATGGCTCACTTTATTTAGTACAGGGTTAGCCAGGTTAAAGTAACTGCAACAAAAATCATTAAAACCATTGGAGCTGCTTCTTATCACACATTAGTCACATAGGATTTTATGTCTGTGGATGCCATGTAAATCAGAATTTTGTTTGAAAGTAAGTTGGCATCCTTTTTTACACCTTTCTATTGATTTTTATTTCTGCTAAATTAAATAAAAGTTCAATCTTTGTAATATCCTGGTGAAGAGTCTCAGGGTAGGTAAAAAGTGAACAAGACATAAAGTTTCCATTATACTCCCCATTAAACACTCCCAAGCTATGAATGGAATCTTTGTGAGCCAATGGGGTATCTGCTTCTGGCTGGAGAGCTGGTGAGGACCCCACGTCACTTATTATTGGGAAGGCGCATTGTACTGTGTACAAGCCAGGCACTCGAAATCCCCCAAATAGAGGAAGAGGTTGGGGCAGAAGTCCCATTCACTGAGAGGTGCTGGCCAAATAGGCTGACAATTCTACTGAATGGCCATGTTATTGGCGAGGTGGTGGCTGCTGTCAGAGGCTGAGGGGAATTATGGGAACCCAGGCTAGAGATGGTGATCTTAGGAATCTGGGTGCCATGGAGAGAGTTTCAGGGTTATGTGTGTTGGAAGAGGGTATCAGCAACAAGGTCAGGTCTTGGGTCTCGGGTCTCATGGCCTCATGACCCTACCATCCTTGCTGATTTCAGGGCTCTCTATCAGACTCTGGATGCCAGTTGAAAGAGGAGGCCCCTCTGCCACCTCACAAGGGTTCGCTTGCACTTCTTACTTGGCAAGTTCACAATAACATATTAAATATAGACAATCAATGGTCTTCCCTTTGTTTTCCTCAGAAAACCCGGAGGGGATCCTCATGAGGTTTATACCAGCAATGGCCAGATGTGGACCAAAAGTTGACATTAATTGGTTACAGGCCTTCCTGTCACGGAATTATTCTGGGTAGCGATGAATGTAGCAGAGTGCCCTTCCGCTACCCTCTTGCCTATTTAAACGTTTCCCAGTCACCAACCTCTCTAGCCATGCACAAAATCCCACCTTATGTCCTTCTAATATCTCTCACTTGCAGCCTCAGCAACAATTCTGTAATAAAACTATATCTTTCCATTTGTACACTGGCCATTCAGTAGTGCTCTTGAGTGACATTTTTAATCAGTGATAAAGTAACTGCAGTATTGATTCTGGGTTTACAAGACAATTTGAGACTGAGATTCACTGAAAACACAGAATGTGCTGAGGTGGCACGATAACTCAGTGGTTAGCACTGCTACCTCACAGCACCAGCAACTCGGGTTCGATTCCACCCTCAGGGACCGTCTGTGTGGAGTTTAAACATTCTCCCTGTGTCTGCATGGGTTTCCTCTTGATGCTCTGTTTCCTCCCACAGTCCAAAGATGTGCATTCTGGGTGGATTGGCCATAGTAAATTGCTCATAGTGTTCAGGGATGTGTGTACGTTAGGTGGGTTATAGGGGGATGAGCCTGGGTGGGATGCTATGAGGGTCGGTGTGGGCTAATTGGGCTGAAGGCCTGTTTCCACACTGTAGGAATTCTATGAAATGACAGAAAGAAGGTACTTGAGACCTATTGCTAAAAGGTGTACTTCACAGTTGAAAGCTGTGCAATAAAATGTTGAAAATTCCATCACTGAGCAGTTTCCTTCTATTTTCCTCCACAGCTCTGGAGGGGAGCCATAGCGAGGAAACGCTGTCGGGGTATGAGAGCTGTCTATGCAATCATGAGTTATTACAAAACATTCAAGGTCAAGGCATATCTCATCGAGGTAATGAGACGCTTCCAGAATGTACGGAGCATGAAAGACTATGGAAAGAGTGTGATATGGCCAACGCCTCCAACAGTCTTAGTCAAATTTGAGGAGAATATGAAATATCTGTTCCGAAGGTAAGATGTATTTTCTTTAAGGAACTTCACAAACTTATTTGATTTGGTTTGCTTGTCACAAGTACCTAGGTACAGTGAAAAGTTTTGTTTGTAAGCAGTACAGGCTGATCATACCATACAAAGCGCGTAGGGTAATAGAACAAGAGTGAGGAATACAATATTACAGCTGCAGAGAAGGTGCATAAACAGTGGGACCAATATTAAATTTAAAATGTGAAATATCCATTCATAAATCTAATAACAGCAAGAAAAAAGCTGTTCTTGAATCTGTTGGTATGTGTGTTTAAGCTTTTGTATCTTCTGCCCAACGGAAGAGGTTGGAAGAGACTATAGCCTGGGTGGGAGGGGTCTTTAGTTATGTTGGCTGCCTTTCCGAGGCAGCAAGAAGTATAGATGATGTCAATAGATGGAAAATTGGCTTGCATGATGTACTGGACTGTGTTCACAACTCTCTGTAATTTCTTATTGCCCTGGGCAGACCAGTTGCCATACCAAACTGTGATGCATCAAGTGTTCCTTACACTGCTCACCAAAGCCTTCCAGGGTAGCAGTGGATTGAGTAAGAATCAGATTATCTTTTTATCTTTCTGCATTTTTGATTGCTGATTGAAATTGGAAAAGGGCTGTTTTAAAATAAAATAAAATAAAAACAAAGATTCACTTTTTAAATTCAGATTCCCAGCATTCATCACAAGTGTTATTTACACTTCTACAAATGGAGGGAACATTGAAGAAGCTCAGCACATCTGGCAGCATCTATGAGAGAGAAACCATGTTAAGGTTTTGAGTCCATTATGACTCTTGTATTTACGCTGCTGTTTGTTCAAGCAGTACTGGGAAGTTTATTGTGCATGGGCTGAAGTCAGGATACATGTAAAAAGGGAGATTCGGCTTGCAATGGGTAGATAATTGGTACCTGGAACGGTGATGAATTGTCAATGACAAGGGCCAACAGTCAGGTGATTGGTTCCCAGGTAGCTGAACAGCTTGAGTGGGGGAATGATATGTATAGGACCCGCAGACCTCCAGAAAGGAAGGTGCTGTCTTTTTCACTGCAATTAACAAAATATCCAAAGCCTGAAGAAAGCTAGCTTAGTTTCCCCTCACCAGTTGTTGTAAGCTTTTGATTTTAACTAAAAAATCAGAGGCTTTATAAGTCGTAAACCTGTGCCTCCTGCAAGGAAGTGAAAGTACCCGGAGAAGGAAGGTCAAAAAACCGAAATCGGGACAATCCAATAGCATCATCTCATTGAATCCTGTGGACAGGGACCACTGAACTACTCTCCTAAGCTCCCATTCCACCCATAACATCGTTTTGTTTTTTATCTTTGTCTGTCTGTATGTCTGTATGGGGTGAGTTATAAGGGGGTTAAAATTTTAACTAGGAGAGGTATATTTTGATGGTTCCTAATTATTTACTAGTAGCTCAAATCTATTTATTTGTAATGAGTAGTCATTCTTGTTATATACAGGACCCTGGTCTGTGCTTTCTGTCAAATTCTGTACAAAAATACAGGTACATTGGGTAATTCTGCAAACTCTGATTAAAATTTTTAACTTTAGTGATGACTCCAGCAGTAGAAATAAAACTTCCAGTGAGATGTGACACAGAGTAAACTTCCCTCTGCATTTTCATAGAGTCATAGAGTCATACAGCATGGAAACAGACCCTGTGATTCAACTCGTCCAGACTAGCCAGTTTTCCTAAACTGAATTAGTCCCATTTGCCCACATTTGGCCCCTATCCCTCTAAACCTTTCCTATCCAGGTACCTGTCCAAATATGTTTTAAATTTTATAATTGCACTTGTCTTTACCACTTCCTTTGGCAGCTTGTTCCATAAAAGCCCACCAACCTCTGTGAACATGTTGCCCCTCAGGTCCCTTTTAAATCTTTCCCCTCTCCCCTACAACATTTTCCTCTGACTGTTCTATGAGCTGGAATTACCTTACCTCAGATGTTTTCAGAGTTAGAGTGACTGTGGTGCCATTTAAAAGTGAAGAGGGAGACCTAGCTCAGGGATTTCCTGGCAACCTCAAAATTTGTACTCATTTGCATAAGAATGGGGGTTGCATGCCCACACTCTGAACTCCCAACCTGACTGGCTTCATTGTCGGGACAGGCATTGCCCGCAATTTTCATGGATTCAAGCCAACTTCTTCATGCCTCAGAGTTCAGGGCTCCCTTGTAGGGTTATGAACTGTGGTCTGGTTTTGTGAGCCTTTGGAAGGTGAGTTCAAAAAGTCTTACCCATGGCCCCATTTCCCTTTATGTCAACTCATCTTCCCATCTGGACCCATGGCCCCTTATAACCCAATGCCAATTTATAACCAATTAATGTCCACCACTCACGCCCATGACTTCTCATAACCTCTATGCCAACATATGGCCCTTCCATGCACATGCGCCCAATATATACCATGTACAGAAGCAGTCAAACCTCTAGTGACAATGTATGCAATTCCTTGGCCACAAAAAAAACATATTGACAAATTATATGAAAAGTGTGCAAAGTGCCAGACAGACCATTGAAGTATCAATATGTGAATTTACACAAAGACAGCTTAGCCAAAATGTAGCGAGCATTCCAATTCCCGAAATCTCACCATGAAAACCAGCACCCACCGTTTTCATTGGGTGTTGGTAGGGAGGGTGTTGTTGTAGATTATGCATTCATAGTTCATGTTGCAACAGCAAAGATAGAAGTACAACCACCTTAGACCAGAATTCTTGAAACAATGTTAGAGTATTATAATTTTCAGGAGAATGTCTGAACATATTGGAGATGTTTCAAAGGGTAAGGTACCCTATAGGAGAGCTTCAGTGATTCTCTTGAGAGAGTTACAGTGCCCTGTGGGAGGTAAAATAAAAAAAAGCTTGCTAATGCTTTCTGACTGTTGACATAAGCCTGATGACTGTCATCATAGCATTTGTGCTTAATGACTGATTTTACGATCAGTCACAGTGGGAATATTATAACAGTAGGAAAGTCAGGAGTCTTTCTGCCGCTGTTATTGACTATTATTCTACATTACTTTCTTGTAGGTGGAGGGCACGACAAATTGTGAAAAACATCCCACCTTCTGATATGCCACAAATCAAGGCAAAGATTGCTGCCATGGATGCACTGCTGGGGCGAAGAAAAGACTGGGGTGTTCAGAGAAACTGGGAGCAGGACTACCTCTCATCTGTAAGTATCATTTGCCATCAGTTTGTCAGCCCATCTTATTTGTAGACAGAAAACCTTGTCTCCATACTATTTCTGCCTTTAGTTAAAATGAACAACTCAAATTTTACAGCACCTTTAACACTGGAATCATCTTCAAATCATTCACAAATAAACAGCAAGAGCAAGACCTTTACATTTATTCAAGGCTGATTTAGGTAGATTTTTGATAGACGAGGGGTGTCAAGGGACAGCAAGGTCTTGCCAAGACCATGTCAGCTATTACCTCATTGAGAGGTGGAGCAGGATCAAAGAGCTAAATGGAAAAATTCAGCTCCTAAATCCTATACTCCTCTGTTCCAAAGTTATTGTTGAAGAGCTGACCTGACAGATTCTGACACACATTTATTTTATGAAAAATCACACAGGATGCATAATGGAATGTTTCATACAATGGATGAGTCTGTCTGTCAGGAACGCAATATCTTAAAAATATTCCTTACAGCTGTAGTCATGATTTTGCTCACTTCCTTTGTCTATGTATGTTTTTACGATCCTTTTGTCCATACATTATGAGTTGGAATTCCCTCCCTAACTGTCTCTGTCTATCCCCTTCACTCCCTTCTTCCTAAACCTAACATTATGACCTAATTCTCTCTCTCTTTCTCTCTTTCTCTTCTCTACATTACACCCTTTCCTGATCTGAATTTTGTCAGATTATATTCCGATAAAGTACATTGGGTTTTGTTAACAACATTAAATGTATTCTAGAAATGCATGTTGTTGTTGTTGTTGTTGGTCAACCTCTTCCTTTCCCTCTGTTCCTATTTCATTATCCCTTTAAAGCATGAGATGGATTTATTTTTGTTCAGTAACAATGATAAGATACATGGATTAAAGGTGGCAAATCAGCATCTTATTGAGTGTTAGAATAGATTTGTGAGTTTAACAGGCCCAGTCCTGTTCAGCATATTGCCTGCTTTCAAATTGGTGACAACCTCCCTGTAAGCAGGATGTGTCAGAGATTGCCCAAGTACATTGACAGGGGGAATGGGAGGAGCCTTCACTCTTACAGGCCTCTCCTTCCTACTGCTGGCAAATATGAAACCTTTATTCATTGACTCCCTGCTGATTGTCACAACACACAGACACACACAACTGCTTTTGGAGCTGTGTTCTGACATTATATGTTCTGTACCTACAGGCCAGGGACAATCCAGAGATGATGTCCCAGTTTACCACAACCATGAATGGACTGAAAAGCAAGGAGCAATTCAGCTCTGTGCTGTTCTCTGCACATGTACGAAAGGTAAGGATAAAGAAAGAATGAGCCTTCATTTTAACTAGAACAATTGCTAACAACAATAATAGTGCATGAGCGTGCTAATCATTTTATATGACTTTCAATCCCACCTGCTGTCTTAAACAGTATATCGCTGTTTGTAAACTCAAGCAATTAATGTTACCATAGTACTGTAGTGGACAGGATGTGGCCATTCAGCCCATTATGCTCAGACTGTTTTTTTGTGAGAGCTTCAGTCAGCCCTACTACTTGCTGTTCATCATAGTTCTAAGTATTTTACTCTTTCATAAACTTATTCAAGTTCCTATTGAAAGTCACTATTGAAATATATCCACCACCATATCAGGCAGTGTGTTCCAGATCATAAGAACTTTTTGCATAAAAAAATCTCATTATTTCCCCAATAGCTCCTTTGCCATTTGAACAATGCATTCAACATTATTTGGTGATTTTCCTCAACAAAGGTTGTAAAATTTGCTCTTCACCTCTCCATTCTTTTGTCAGTATTGAAAATGGGATTGTTAATGGCAAAGCCTCATCAAAGCTGGACTTCTTTTATTCAAACTCCTTACCCATTCCACATTCAAAAGATGTTGACCCAGATAGAGTCATAGAGTAGTACAGCATAGAAACAGGTCTTTCGGCCCAAACTGGTCCATGCTGACCATGGTGCCCACTCAGCTGGTTCCAATTGCCCATATTTGGTCCATGTCCCTCTAAATCCTTCCCATCCATGTATCTATCCAAATGTTTTTTTTAAATGTTGCCTTTGTACCTACCTCAACCACTTTTTCCAGCAGCCCATTCCATATATGCACCACCCTCTGCATGAAGAAGTTGCCCCTCAGGTTCTTCTTAAATCTTTCTCCTTTCACCTTAAACCCCTAGTTTTCAAATCCCCATTCCTGGGAAAAAGACTATATGCATTCATCCTATCTATACCCCTCATGATTTTATAGACCTCAGTACACCACTCATTTTATACACCTCTCATTCTCCTACATTCCAAGTCCTATCCTGGCCAACCTCTCCCTATAACTCAGGTCTACTCATCCTGGCAACATTTTTGTCAATCTTTGCACACTTTCCAGTTTAACTATGTCTTTCCTATAACAGGGTGACCAAAACTGTACACAGTACTCCAAGTACAGCCTCACCAATTACTTATACAACTAACATAACGTCCCAACTCCTATACTCAATGAAAACGAGAAGAACATTGGATGCTATAAATCAGGAACAAAAACAGAAGTTGCTGGAAAAGCTCAGCAGGTCTGGCAGCATCTGTGAAGAAAAAATCAGGTTAACGTTTCGGGTCTGGTGACCCCTTCCTCAGAACTGGTTATAACCAACTTCTGGTTTTGTTCCTATACTCAATGCCTTGACCAAATGAAGGCCAGCATACTAAGTGCCTTCTTCACCACCCTGTCCACCTGTGACACTGGAGGTCTTCCAGTCTTGGGATAGTTGTGGACTGGACATACCCTGAAGAATGTATGTCAGGACCTTAGAAATCCTGAGGCACTGACTACATGCTAATTGCTCAGAAAGTTTAATCTTCCAAAGAGCAATTATCCAGCATCTGGAACACACAATATGTCCCCAACACTGGGTTAGAGCCAGAGAGTGGGAAGGGTTCCAAATTACTTAACAATTAACCAGGAACAGTTCGATATATCAAAACCTTGTCTTACTCCTGGATCACTATAAAATTGGTCTCCACCACTGAATCCCCACAATCATTCACATTCACACGCTGCACACTTTAGACTTCCAACCACTAAACATACCACCCATGGACAACAAATCCTCACCTGCCCAACCAACAGCCCGTGAATACCTCACCTCTTCCACCCTCACTTCCATTGACTCTCAACTGACCTCTTGCATACATGCCCTGACACCCAACCCCATCCACTAGACACCTGACTCCTCTCCTGCATCAACACTGATCCAGACTTCCTAGAACACAAAATTGGAAACTTGATTCTACTGGAGCTCCATCGGTCATCCATATCAAGTGAAAAACTAGATTAACTTATCTTCTGCCACAATAGAAGTAATTATTCTCAAAAGGATGGCCTCTGGTAACCAAATAACCACATCCATAATATTACGTATAGATCAATATCCTGGTTTTTTTTTCAGTTCTGGTCCCACATACTCAATATCAATCTGCTAAATAGTTCCTCAAAAACCCACTTGGGGATTGGAGATGCCAACTTATTTACTTTGTGATTTTTCCACCATTGTGCATCGATGGTACATTTTGTGAAACTGTACCACATCAGTAAAAGTACTCCACACTACTACTATTTACTAAAACGTGGACATATCCATAACTCTCTGATAGAAAAGTCATGCCTTTCCCCAACAAAACAGTTTGGGTGGCACCTGTATCCCAAAGTATAATTACAGGGATGCTCACCTTATTGAGGAATCCAATTAAATGTTGTCAGCATTGGGCATTCTGCTGTGTGTCCCCCAGTTTTTTGCTATAACTGAGATAGGAGGAGTGCATTGTCTTTCTCTGGTCCCACTATTCCATGGGTCACAACACAAAATTCACTTGTTTTACCTGGTGCCTGATATAGTTTATCATATTTTGCAGGAGAACAATCAGGCTTCAGAGATAGACCCAGGCTCCAGATTCAAAAGTCAGGGTTTACAAACCTTATGTTAGGACTCTCCTGGCTACTCAGAGTCTGGCAGTTCTCCAGCAGTGTGGGCATGCAGGACCAGATCAATTAGATATGGTTGGGTGTCACACCTGCTGCCTAGCTCACAGGGCCTGGAGATTGTTGGGATTTAGGGATCGGGAGTCTGGAATCTGAGTGACAATGGGAGTGGGAGGCAACCTGATTGGGGGAGGTCATTATCAGACCATGCGGAATCTCAGCTTCCATCCTTCCTTTATTTACTGTTTTTCCCCTCTGCATTGCCTATCACCAAAGTCTAGGTAGAGCTTCTCCAGCATTCTGTGCTTGTTTCAAGATTCCAGCATCTGCAGTATTTTGCCTTTAGAGCATTATGAATAGAGTGGAATAGAATCCTTACAGTGTGGAAACAGGCCCTTCAGCCCAACAAGTCCACACTGACCCTCAGTGCATCCCACCCAGACCCATCCTCCTATAATCCACCCAACCTACACATCCCTGAACACTATGGGCAATTTAGCATGGCCAATCCGCCGAGCCTGCACATCTTTGGACTAGCTTATAGTCATTGGCCTATGCCTCAGACCCAATTTAAATAACGGTATAAAGTTTGCAGACCTCATATCTCCTGATACTTTGCTTGTATCTGGTAAAAATTGATTAAGGATCCTCAGAGCATCCCTCATTTCCTCCCTGGTTTCCTTTAACAGCCTGGGATACAATCCTTCCAGCCCTGGTGATTTATTCACCTTCAGGAATGTTATACCTACTAGCACCTCTTCTTGCATTATACTATTATCATTATCATCCTTCCCTGTTGTACCCTATGTTATACCTGTTCAACCTCTTTAATGTTTAATAATTGCATTTATTGGTTTATACCCTGGTGTTGTTATTTATTCACCCACTTAACTCAAATAGATCATGTGATGCATTCCAATAAACCACACCTCAGTGTTAGGATTGGGCACCTACCTTTATTTCAACCCGCTGGATATTAAGGAAGAAACGGTCTAATGTGGTATACAGGAAATATGACTTTGTGAGAGCGGCTGGTGAAAATGAAGCTAAAAAACATTTTGAGCATTTGAACCCTGATGTAATAAGTATGTGCTTTTTGTATACATAAGCATGTGTGTGTTTGCATATCTTCATGTGTGTAGCTGTGTATCTGTATGTTTCTCCAGAATATTTATATATCCCTTAGCAGAAATACTCATTTTTCTTGCTTTCTCAACTTAGGTGAATAGGTTTAATAAATGTGAGGATCGAGCTATTCTCATCACTGACCAGCACCTGTACAAACTGGAGCCAGCCAAACGCTACAAGAGCATGAAGGCACTCCCACTTAGCCATGTGAGTATCCAGGCATGCATCAAGCCACAGCCATAAGTTGGAGACAGTTCTTCCAATCTCATCATTGAGCTGAATAAAAATAGATGTAGAAAGAACAGAGAATGTTGAGAGATTGAAAAGTGTAGATGTACAAAGGGACTTGACTGTCCTTGTAAATAAGTTACTGAAGGCTAACATGCAGTTATGGCATGCAATTAGGAAGGTCAATGGAATGTTAGCTTTTATTGCAAGCGGATTTGAGTACAGGAGTAATGAGGTCTTGCTTCAATTGCGTAGGAGTTCGGTTAGACCACATCTGGATTATTGTGTGCAGTTTTGGTCTCACTATTTCAGGAAACAGATTATTGCCATGGTGGGAGTGGAACAAAGGTTCACCAAACGTGTTCCCAAGATGGTAGGACTGTCCTATGAAGAGACATTTGGAAAACGGTGGCTGTATTATCTAACATTTTGAAGAACAAGAGGTGATCTCATTGAAATTAAAGGGATTGACAGCATAGATGCAAGTAAGATATTTATCCTGGATGGGGAGCCAGGAACCTGGGGTCAAAATTTATAAACAAAGGAGATGCCATTTAGGACTGAGAAAAGGAGAAATTGTTATACTCAAAGGATGGTGAGCCTTTTGAACTCTCTACCTCAGAGAGCTGTAGAAACTCAGTATTTGAGCATATAAAGTGGAGGTTGATAAATTTTTAATTATCAGTGACATATAGGACTAAGAAGATAGTGTGGGTAAAAGCTACTTAAGCATTAAATCAGTCATGATTGTATTAAATGGGGGAGCAGGCTTGATGGGCTGACTTACCCGATCCAGTTCCTATGCTCCTAAATGCAAATGTTGGAAATCTGAAATAAAACAGAAAATGCTGGAGAAACACAACAGATGTGACAGAATCTCTCAGGAGAGAGAAACAGAATTTTGAGTCTGGTATGACTTCTTCCGAACTTCACCATTAAACATCGCACTTAAAGATGGAATCAAACCATTAGGAACCTGTTTGAGGAGAGAAGGCTGGAAAGTTTGGAAGCTGCAAACTTCTCAAGATTGAATTGAGTGACATCTCAGTCAAAGTCTGCCATTGTGACCTGAGACGGAATTATAAATAAGCAGCCTTGTGCCCGATTTGGATGGGAGATTCTATATCTGCTGCAGGACCCTGAATACCATATTCAGGTGTAAATGAGAAAAGCATACTTCACTCAATTGAACCAAGCCAACTGTAGCCTAACCAATGGTTCTTAAAGGGGCCCTTGTTACTCCATTAGAAAGGGATGGAATGTTTTTTGGGAAGATTTTCTATGGGGCCTGGATTTGCAGCAGTTTCCTCCTGACTCCAGAAACTTGGTGAAGATTAATGCCACTGCCCACATTATTTTTTCCACTATAACGGTAACTGCATTGCAAGAGGGTCTTCATTTCCCAGGAGGAAAAACTGGTAAAACATGAAAACACGATATACTTGTCGAATTTGTCTTGCTGACCTTAATAGGGAGCTCCACTACAACTGGTGAGTTCCTAACTGAGATTTAATGTCTCTGGGTTGGCTGTAATGCACTTGATGATATCCCACGATTATGAAAGATACTGTATGAAAATACGCCCATTTTTTAAAGAAATAACAAAGAGTTTTGACAGGTTAGGTCATAAGAAACCTTTTACCCAAGTTTGAAATAAGGAGCACGACCTTAAGGTCAGATCTAGCCCAATCAGGATAAGGGGAATCTGGGGCATTTTAATTCCAGCAGGCTGTGTATATGAAATCAATGGAAAGTTCTAGACTGTTATAAGCACATCTTTATTAGTCTAAAGGAGATGATGGCCTCGTGGTGTTATTACTAGACTATTAATCCAGAGATGTTCTAGGGCCAGGGTTTAAATCCTGCCATGGCCAATGGTGGAATTTGAATTTAATGAAAATCTGGAATTATGAATCTAATTAAAAACTCACCTAGTTTACAAATATCCTTTAGGGAAGAAACTGCGGTCCTTACCTGATCTGTCCTACATGTGACTCCAGACCCACAGCAATGTGATTGACTCTTAATAGGCCTCTGGTCTTGACAGTGACACCCACATCTGTGAATGAATAAAAAAGTTACTAGTTATGATGCATAACAGCAGTTGAGGTACAGAATAGTTAAGATGTAGGCTTGAAAGGCTTGCCACCCATTCCATCTTTATTTTCGATGGCACAGGCCTGAGTTACACAGGTGCTGTGTCAGGGGGTAGTCAAGCAGCTGGCTAACTAACATGGTGACGCACAGGTAAAATATATTTCTGAGGAATTGTACAATCAACACTGGCAACAATGGCTGAACTGTAAGAGTCAGAAATCCACTGTAACAGACAAAGTGTTCTGACCAAATGGATGATGTTAAACTGAAATGTTCCTAGTTTGGACAATCTAAACCCACAAGCCATCCTCTCGATGAATCTAACATCCCCCATTTGTTCCTTCAGGTCACTGGGGTCAGCGTTACTACTGGCAGGGATCAGTTGATCATCTTCCACACCAAGGTAAATGACGATCTGGTGGTTTGCCTGGACAAGATGCAGCGCGGAAACGATAATAGGATTGGAGAAGTTGTTGGTGTCTTGGCCAATCACTTTAGCAAGTGAGTGATGCATTCAATACCATATTATGAAGCAATGTAAATGCATTCCAACTATGCAGCAATTCACCTTCTCACAAATACACAGGATATCTGTGGTAGCCACTTTGGCAGTGGACTGTGTGCTGCTAGTTCAAAGAAATAATGAATGACTATTCTTCTATGTACAAGAATTGGTGAAAAACTAATGTGGTTTCCTTATTTGAAGATAAAACTATGTACAGATATTGCTGACTTGGAGGGTAGGTATTGCACATTTAACTTATACCTTGCTGCTTGCGTATAAGTCATGGCACTAATACACTGTATCATGTTGAGGTCACAATGATTGACAATGCCATGATACACCACCTTGGAGATACATGAGCCTTACACCACTGCACTGTGCATCTTAATACTGTCAATATAACAGGGAAATTAGTAGTGTTTAATTGCATGAAGGACCATAACCTGTAGTGCAAGACACTTCCAGATCTGCAACAATAACAGAAGATGAGGTAAATGCGGGTGTATTGGCTTAATAATATTAAAAACAGAAAGGAAAGCTATGCCAAGGGTGTGAAGGAGATCCCCAGTTTTGTGATCGCTATGTTACAACATAGGGTCAAACAAGGAAAATGTTTGTCCATTTGATTTCCAGTTCCAGTACATTTAGCTTCTTGGATGATCAATGAGGGGTTTTTTTGATAGACACATCCTAATTTCTTCCCATGCCATCAGCTATCCAGTGTTCTCCCCTCACCCATCTGTCCTGGTAACCCCTAGCAGTGGATGCTATCATCTGTGTAAAGGTGCTGCAGGAAAAAAAAACAGCATCAGCTTGGCACCTAAAACTACCCATCAACCTGTGTTAATTGACACAAAATAATGAATGTACTCATCAGCTATCAGTAACATGGACCATCAGCAAACCAATTGGAAAATATAATGACCACACAGATGCTATAGGCAGCACACTTAAGGATGAAATTATTATTACTCAGAATACCAACTTTTGACAAATTTGGAATAATTTGACAGCTCGGCTGATATAGAGAAGGCAGAGCTGGGAGATATGGGAATCTGGTGATGATATGAGGAAGCTGGGGATGTTTTGTGTTAGCTCATGATATGTAGGCTGACAAGATGGGTTAGAATAGTAGATGTCAGGATGTAACAGCACAAAGTGGAATGAAGGACCAAGGGATGGAGAAGTGCAGCTATTGATACAGTGGGAAGTCACAGCTCCAGGAGACCAGCAGCAAATGATATGATAGTGACAGCACTATAAAAAATTATGTTACAAATTAAAAATAAAACAAACTGCTAATATAAAATGGCCACACTTAAAAGACGTCTGTAAATATGGGGATTGGCAATTATCAGTTACAGAAAGCAAGTAAAGACACAGAGATAAATTACAAAGGATACAATTTGGTCCCAAAATCCAGATCATGTAATCAGTTCCAAGAACAGGTCAGAAGGCAGTTTAAGTGGGAGTAAATTGATTGGGCTGTACAGCAGAATCTTTAATTTGCATTTAATCAATGTCCTAAATTACTTGGAAGCATTTGATAGGATAGCATAGAGTATTTTATTCTGAACCTATGGTATTACTGACCTGGGATTGTTTGATGCTAATACTGAATAGGAAAAATAAGGCAGAATGTTCTGTTCCCTTTTATGACTTACCTCCTCAAAGAGACAAGATTACCTTTGAGTAACACCCTATTGACTCCTAATTATCTAATATGCGGCTGGTTTGTCTGTTTGCAAGTCTCCTTTGATAAAACTGCAGTTGTCTGCCAGTTGTATTAATCCTAAAGACGTTGCATGGAGTAGGATTAACGATTAAATGAATTTGATGACCAGGACCTCTGCTATAGACTGCTTTCTACTGCCATGGCAACAGATAGATCACTGTTTTGCATTATTTGATGGTTCCTGTGATCAAGGTGTTGCTACACAACACTGTAGGTGTTCTTGTTAATATTTTTAAAAACCGTTGCTTTCGAATGAAAACCAACCTCCATATGTTGTATATAGCAAGGTGTAGAGCTGGATGAACACAGCAGGCCAAGCAGCATCAATGACCTAATCTGAGGGGAGTGGCCACCTTTTAGAGAAATGTAGCT